ATAATTGGGGTGGCTCGCTCTTGGTCTCTCAGTCTAAGTTGAATTACTGAAAAAGATGGACTTTTACACAATATTTACATTTTTCCAGTTTCACTTGCATGTCCTCCATCAGATTTCTAGATGACCTGGTGTGACTTTTCCAAAGTGATGATTTGTGCTGGTTATTGTTATAAAATTTAACCTCACGGTTATTGTGACCAAAATTATCACGGTTTTCGGTATTATCGCGGTATTTTTTTAAACGTGTTACATTTTCAGACAACTAAATAATCCCTGTATACCAGGAAAATATTGTCCTCAGTTTGTGTCTAAGTTTTGCCTAAAGTTTGTCATTTTGTAATTATGTTGTTTATTTGTTTACATTTTTCCCCTTTAGTCTTTAAAATACCAATATTTGCCCATAACTTCTTAATGTTTGTCTGTTTGATGTCATCATTTTAAAAATATTAGACCAGATGATACTCAGGCCCTGTCCACACGTAGCCGGGGATCTGCCAAAACGTAGATATTTTTCTACGTTTTGGCCTGTCATCCACACGAAAACAGAGTTTTTTCACACGAAAACGGATCTTTTTAAAAACTCCGGCCAAAGTGAAGATCTGCGTTTTTTCCGTTTTGGGTGTCTGCGTGTGGACAGACAAAACCGGAGTTTTAAGGTCCGCAACGTCACTTTCCGCGACAAAAAAATGCTGACATCACGTGTGCGACCTGTGTTTACACTAGCCGACAGCATGGATGCCCTCAGAGCTGCGCTCGCTTTATCAATCGTCCAAGCGCTTTTTGCTTGTTTGTTTTTGCAAGCGGAATTACTGCTCATGGCGGAAGACCGCAGACGAAGGACGAGGTTAAGAACGGGGGAAGTACTGCCGCCTACAGGTCTGGCATGTCCTTAACAACGTATTTATCCGGGTACGTGTGGACAGAGTTATTTTTTAAAACGAGGTGGTGTGGATGCAAGTTTTTGGAGGGGCGGATATTCGTTTTAAAAAGACCCGGCTACGTGTGGACTAGGCCTCAGTACGCCTTCTAATCAGATACCTTTTTACCCTTACTGTCATGAGCTGGGGTGAGTACTCTCTTCCTCTTAACCATCTGTGAGTCTCTTGCCAGGAGAGGGAGTGGCCCAGCTGTTCCTGATCAGCGGGGTGTTTTCCTATTTAAGGTGGATGGAGGACACAATTCGACGCCGGAAGATTGCCTCAGCGTGGTAGTAGCCAGCCACTCGAGTTATCTCTAGTATTTCTTGGATTAATGTTATTCGTAGTGTTTAGCTCTAGAATTTTTGGATGTTGACCTTTCTTGCTTCGCCTGGAACTGATTTGGATTTTTACCCTTCGTCAGGATTTCTGTCGGCCTCTTTAGATACTTACCTCTACTCCAGGATTTGGATTTTCAGCACGCGGACCATATCACCAACCTCCATAACCCACCTCTCATCTCAACCCAGTGCCCCATCCACCAGGACGCCCCGCTTCTCTCCACCTATGCTCCCTCTCCTGCGCTTCCCCCCGGCTCTCTACCTCTCCCTCCTCCAGCCAACATCTACACGCCCCACAGTAAGTTCTGCTGAACACCTCTGCCTACAATGGACTTCTGAATCAGAACCTATGCTCACCTGTGGTCTCCCTCCTCCAGACGCTGAGCTGTCGTAGCAGTTCCAACCACAGACTTATCTGTGCATCCCAAGTTCCTCCTTTATAAATAAATCATTTTACCATCCGTTTTTTGGTCTGTGTTGCATTCTGCATGTCTTGGGTTAGGTACCTTCCTCCAAACATGACACTTACTTGAGTAATAAACCCTATATCAGGAAAATATCGTCCTCGGTTTGTGTCCTTCCAGTGAGCTTTGCAGATGTGGGAAAATGTCATCAGGCAGGTTGTAACTGCAAGTTTTTTTAATTACTGTAAAAATAAAAATGATTAAGAAATAGATTTTGAAAATAGCTCTTCGAGAAATGTTGTAATATTTTATTGCATTCTGTTAGTCTAGAATAAAATAAATATGATGAAATAAATATTTTTTTCAGTTTGTTTTTCTCAAAAAATAAAAATTAAAATGCTTAAAGCCACATGGCTCCAGATGTTCTGGCTGGTGTGTGCATCTTTGAACCCAAAACGTGATAAATTAAACAACTGCTTTTTGTTCTAACTTTTTATTAGCGAATGTGAAAGTAACACACACACACACACCTGCAGTATCTATCACTTACTGTTCAAGCACTTTGTTTAAATTTCAAACACTTGAAACCTTGAAAACATGAAGAATAAAGATATTCATCAACATGAATTGGAATATATTGCTGTAAACAGTAGCAGTTTTAGACCTGGACATTGGGGGCGGCAAAATGGGTATTAGGTACTGAAAAATCATTTTTATTTTCGGGAGTGCTGTGTGTCTTTTGGAGAACATATGTTACAGCGGCGACGGCTACTTGCTTTTTTGCTCTTGCCTTCTTTATGCCTTGGGGTATAAATGCATCACATATTGTAATAAGTTGGTCAAGTAAATCACGCATAAGGAAGTGTGATCGCCCAGGGCACCAAATGAGCTAGGACTGCCCCTGGTTGTAGATCTTAGCTTATGTATTGTTTTCTTTTGACATTTATATACTTTAAACATCTTAATACTTATAATTATTTTACAGTGTCTGTTTCGTACCTTGCTTCTAACCTTTTTTTCCGTTGGTTTGGCATGGACCTTGTTCATTTCGTTCAGAATTGCCATCAGAACCATGAGCGTTTTTAGCCTATGTTGGGGAGTGCTGAAGCACCCCTAAATCATCTCCCAGCACCCCTAAAATGTGAGAATTTAAAATGTTTATTTTTACTAAATGTTTTCATCACACTTGTAAAATGTAAAAAGCATACAGTGCTTGGTTGAAACGTCTTATTTCAGTAGCAAAAATGCAGCAAAGCTCTCCCTCCTCAAAAGTAGTTTGATCCTGTTCACCTTTGCCAGAGTCCAGCTCCGAGCCTCCGTAGGCCAGCAGCCTCCATAGCTGAGTGGCTGCTGTAGTAAAGGGAGACCAGAATTACCCGCAAATTGAAACACTGTCCCACGTTGCTGACGGGTTTCCGTTTCATGTTTAAATCTTGAATTAAACTGTTTGTGAAGAGAAAGCAGTGGCTGTTAATCCAGCAAGGACGCGGGATTTTATGCAGGAGCGCGCGCCGCGCATGAACCACACCAACAAAAGGAAAGACAGAGCGTGTGGAGGAAGGACTGTCATGACCCTGCCATGCCTTGACCTGCATACACCATAATTCATCTCATCAGCCTTCATTCATCACACCTGGTCCCCTCATCAAGTGCTGTAAGCAGACTCCAGGGGCAGCATGTTGATATGTGACATTACCAGGGGGGCTGCCAGAGATTTTGGGCCCCATGAAAAAATATCAAGTTGGGCCTCCTGGGGGCTTGTCCATAGCTGGAGCTGGGGTTCCAACCTCCCAGATTAGAAGGGAGAAAAAAATATAATATATATACTTTATATTAGTGTTTCAGTTTTGCTTAATTATGTAGGTCTACATGCATTCTTACTTATTTACATATCATTTTCACCAGCTGTCTCTCATTAAACAGTGAATTTCCTTCAACAGAATTAGCAATATCACTACTGGAAAAAGCAGGAAATGCTGAAAGGTGTTAATCTCCTTTTCCCTATTACTCCCTTAAAATGTGTTTATTTATTCTAAAATTTTATTTGATGATAAAATTCAAATTTGGATATCTAATTAAATTTCCATGTTGTGTCAAAGCTTTACATAACTACATTTTCAGCTGTCTTCTGTCACGACGTGCTGGTGAGTGGAGCGGATGTAAGGATCCAAACGCTGGGGAGCAATCAGGCAGGCAGACAACCTGGGACAGGTAAAGTCTTTTAATGATAAACACGCGCAGGACATGGGAACAACGAGCCAACCAGAGACACAGAACTGGAGGGGTTTAAATACAAGCGGGGTGGGAGCTTGGGTGATTGGAAAACGAGAGGCAGGTGGGAGCAATTAACAGAGACGCAGGTTGAACAAAATAGGGAAACAGGACAGGATGTGACATCTTCCTACATTTTTACTGATTGATATATATAATTATCATTATGTGGGGAAACAATGTGTTTATCACCAAAAATAGCCTTTTTATATTCCTATTAAGAAGACAGCCTTAAGTGATTCCCACAGACCCCCTTAAATGAGGTTGCTAGCTAACATGCAACATTGCTCACCTTCTTGAGGTTCATTGGGTTGTGAGGGGACACCTGCTGACATATCATCAGCTGCTGATTCTGGTAGGGACAAGGACAACAACCCATTTACCATAATTAGATGAAACATAGTTCTATTTCGTCTAGTCTTAGCCCTTAAGCTAGTTGCTATTGGAAGGATGATCTCAGCATCAGCCAATCATGAAGAGCTTAAATGTACGCCCACCAATGGTGGGCACCCCTTGTGGGTATATAAGTGGAGCAACTCCACTGTTCGCCTCCGTTATCTCTTCAAGCCAAGCTTAAGAGCTTTCTTTAAAGAGCAAATTATCTAGAAACAACAGTCAACTCACCAGCCATGTCCAGCAACGCAAGGACCTGCCCGGCCTGCCAGACGGGCTACATCTCCAGCGGCGACCTGCACGTCAAATGTGAGGTCTGTCTCGGGCTCATCACGCTGGCCTGGCCTTGACCCCCCAGGCCTCGTGCCCGTTTTGTGCTGCTCTGCCCGTGGCTGAAAAGATCCGCCGGGTCGAGTACTTCACCCCCGCCGCTGACGAGGAATTTCCGGTGGCTAACAAGTAATCGCTGGACAAGGCCCTACAGTTCTTCAAAGTCGACCAGGAGCCGGCTGGCTCCTGCAGACTAGACGATGTCATCGACAGCAAGGAGTACGGCGAGGCTGGCTGCCATAGCCCTTCTTCCCTCCTGGACAACACGGAGGTCGACGAGCTTCCCTCAGCGGGCTCCTCTGCTCCAGTTCCTTCTCGCTCCTCATTGCCAGCAGTTAGAGCACTGCTCCAGGAGCTACCTGCCATCATCTCCGCGGCTGCAGTCCGCAAGGGGCTAGCCGTGCCAGAACCGGCTCCGCCTGAAGCAGATGATTTGGCGGGAATTTTCGGGGCAACACAAACGCGCTGTCCAGACCCCATCTGGCCGCGCTTCCCCGCTGCCATGAGCTTCTGGTCCGCCGCATTCTCCGAACCTGCTAAGGTCAAAGTGCCAATTTCCACGTATGCGCCCATTACCAAGGTCAAGTGCTTCTCCGACCAGGGCTGGCCATCCGTTCCTCCACTGGAGCCGGACTTGGCCTCGCTGTTTGGTGCCAAGAACTACCTCACTGGCCCGCGAGCAGTTCCCGCTTCTAAGCATGACCAGCTGCTGACGCAGCTCACCGATCGCGCACACCAGTGTGCCTTCCAGACCGGCGCTGCAGGAAATAACATTGCCCTTCTTGCCTTTGTCATTTCCAAAATGGTGGAAGAGCTTGACGTTCCTGACGAGTCGAAAACCATCATTACTAAAACTGCTGATTCCATTCTCAATCTGTGTGCTGCTGTACTCAGCGGTTCTGCTCACATTGCTGCCTGGCAGACCCTTATCCAGTGGGCCTTGTGTCTCATGGCCCTGCCCTCCATTCCTGAACACCTGCACAGAGAGATGCTGGAAGGCCCCATCAGCTCTGATGTTCTGTTTGGTCCCCATCTTAGGAGTGTCATCGAGATGGCTCAGAAGACAGCTGAACTGTCAGCCACGGTGTGAGACCTGGTCCACCCTCGGTCCGCCTCTCACTCCGGCCGTTCCTCCAGAGGATTGGACAAATGGCGCGGAAACTTCAGACACCCAGCTGCTCCGCCCACCCCACCGAGCCGGCCTCCCGCTTAGGTTCCATCTCAGCGGGACCAGAGAGTTGGCAGCCAACAGTTTCGAAAGAGCCAGCAGATACCATCTTGGCCGTCACAGTCGCAAGAACCTCGCTGAAAGCAACCACGAAAATGACTCGTTGGGGGGGGAATGTGTGTGCTTCTGACTGTAATGTTAACTCTGTGAATGATTTTGGTTTTGAAAAAAAACCCAAAAAACGTCACATTGAGAGCACAATCCTACAGTCCTCTGCAGAATCCTCTGCCGAATCCTCACACATGTTCCCCACACCAAGCACTGCGACACACCTGCATGTTCACGCAGTCAGTCATATTACACGAGCAGCTGTAAGGGTGCGCTCCATTTGCGCACTGGCCTTAGCTTCCAGCCAGGCCCAACACATACCGCTCCCCCCACAACGTAGGGTGGGACGGGATGTCATGGCGCTATCATGACCACACGCAGCGACACAGTGAGCGGCTCCATCTGCTGGCACTTTGTCGTCCCCATGCACGGGTCTGGCTCCCACTCGTCCTTTATCTTTGGAATCCACGCTCTACGGTGCGGTTTAGCCTCTTCCAGCTGTTTCACACTCGCCCTTTCGAGCGCAGCCCTTTGTGGGTCGCTCCCAGTTCTCTGGTGCGAGCGACGGCGATAAGGGCGCGAACCCAGTCCTCAGACGTTGTTCACGTGACTTCGAACACGCGTCCGCTGTCGGAACGCGCGCAAGAATGGCGCCGCTTTTGTCTCATGAGCAAATGGATATCGGACACCATTCAATGCAGTCACACACTCCATTTTCAGTCCGCTCCTCCTCCCTTCAACGGGATCGTGGAGACGACGTTCACATCACAGGAACATTCTCAGGCCCTGGAGCTGGAGCTACAGGAACTTCTGTCCATGAACGCCATTTCCCAAGTCCCTCGCGGACAAGAGCTCTCAGGCTTCTACTCCCGCTACTTTGTAGTACCGAAGAAGTCAGGAGGAATGAGACCAATTCTCGACCTTTCCCTGTTTCATAGCAGTGATGCATTTCCGCATGTTAACAATGAGGCAAGTCCTAGAATACGTGCGCTCCGGGGACTGGTTCAAGTCGATTGACCTGAAAGACCCATACTTTCACGTCCCAGTAATACCCAAACACCGGAAGTTCCAGTGCTTTTCAATCAAGGGAGTTCAATACCAGTTCAATTGTCTCCCTTTCGGCTACTCGCTAGCCCCGCGCACCTTCTCCAAATGTCTGGAGACCGCTCTGCAGCCATTGCGCACGGCGGGAATGAGGGTTTTATTTTACCTGGACGATCTGCTCCTATGCGCCCGGTCCAAGGACAAGGCGTCAGAGCAAACCAGGAAGTTAATAGAGCATCTGTCAACCCTGGGGTTTTCCATAAACTGGGAAAAGAGCTCCATCCTTCCATCCCAGTCGATTGTGTTTCTTGGGGTGGAGCCTCCCTAATGAGAGCACGTTTGTCTCCGACGAGAGCAGCAGATCTCACCACGGTGATCTCCCGCGTGCAACCCTGCAAGATTGGGAGAGCCCTGTTAGTCATGAAACTTCTGGGCATGATGGCTGCAGCCCACGCTGTGGTGCCGTTAGGTTTACTACACACGAGACACCTACAGCGTTGGTTCATCTGCCTCCGGGTACACCCGATACGTCAGAAGACACAGATGTTGAGGGTTCCCCCTTCAGTGGGCAGGGACCTCGCTCATTGGGGGAATCCCTGCATCCTCTCACACGGGGTCCCCATCGGACGTTCTACGTCACACGTATCTGTTTTTCTGGATGCGTCACTGTTGGGATGGGGGGGGGGGGGGGGGGGGCACGTGCTTGTCCCATATGGTGGCAGATCGCTGGCCCTCCCACACGCACGAGCACATAAATGTGTTGGAGCTTATGACAGTGAGAAATGTGATCAAACACTTCGCTGCCCTTCTCGAGGGCCGTCATGTCGAAGTTCACACAGACAACCAGGTGGCGGCAGCCTACATAAATCGCCATGGGGGAGTTCGATCCCTCCCACTATTGCTCGTAGCCACAGATTTACTGTGTTGGGCACATGTCCACCTGCTGTCCATCAAAGCCACCTACATTCCAGGGGTCCTGAATGTGGCAGCAGACATCCTGTCGAGAGGGGGACCCCGCGACTCCGACTGGCATCTGCATCCCGCACTGATATCACAGATCTAGATCAAATTTGGGGAACCCTCTGTGGATCTGTTCGCGGCTCGCGAAAACGCTCAGTGTCGCCTGTGGTTTTCCCTGAGTCCCCGGGACCACCCCCCACTTGGAGCGGACGCCTTCTTACGCCAGCCCTGGCCTCAGACGCTCCTGTATGTGTTTCCGCCGGTCCCACTGATTCCCCGTCTCCTGGACCGAGTTCGATCAGAACAGCTCTCGGTAATTCTGGTAGCTCCCAGACGCTTGTCCACGTCATGGTTTCCGGACCTGCAAGCGCTAGTGTCCGGCTCCCCGTGGAGGGCGGACGCCCTTCTCCAGGTGGATGGGATAATCAAACATCCTCCAGAAATAGGCCAACGGCTGTGGGTCTGGCCGCTGAGCGGTCACTCTTAGAGGCTTCTGGGCTGCCGCATGATGTGGTCGCCACGATTCAGAGTGCGCGGGCGCCCTCTACCATCGCATCCTATGCTGCTAAATGGGCAGATTTCCAAAAATGGTGCACAGAGCGGAATGTTCAAGCGCTTTCCTGCCAGCTGGCGGATGTCCTATCGTTTCTGCAGATACTGGTGGACAGGGGCCTCGCATTCAGCACTATTAAAACATATGCTGCAGCTATCTCATCCTGTCACCAAGGTTTTGGAGATCAATCAATCAATCAATCAATCAAAGTTTTATTTATAAAGCGCCTTCCGCAACCCTGTCAGGAAGCCCAAAGCGCTAAACATGGTACAGTTGTATGTAAATATATTGAATAAATCAACAATAAAAGAAATTCAAATTACAAAATACAAATTACAAAATACAAAATGGAAATTACAAGATAGATGAAACATTCTGGTAAAGGACAAATGTGTGAAACACATTTGGATTGAGTGGATGGATTGAGTGTACCAATGAAAACTGTGGAATGGATTCAACATAAAAGAGGGCCAAAATCATACATGTTCTGGAAACGCCAAGCGGAGGAGGTGTGTTTTTAGGTGATTCTTAAAGACTGGCAGAGAAGGGGACAGCCTAACTGAGGGTGGCAACTGGTTCCAGAGTAGATCTGTTTTCAATCATCCCCTCACAAAACGTTTTCTAAAAGGTGTCAGAAGGAACAGACCTGTGTCCCGCCCGCTATTTCCAATGTGGGACCTAACGGTGGTTCTGCGCGGCTTATCTGAAGCCTCATTTGAACCCTTGGACCAGGTCTCACTCAAGTTCCAGTCACTCAAAACTGCCTTGCTGCTGGCGCTAGCATCAGTCAAGAGAGGGAGCGACCTAACCGCCCTCTCAGTGGCTCCCGCATGCCTCAGGATCCGGGAAGATGGCGGAGCTGCTGTTTTATGCCCCAACCCAGCCTTTGTGCCCAAAAACATTAATACTTCTTTCAAATCCGGGTCAATTTCATTGGCTGGACTTTTTCCTCCTCCCCATAATTCTGATGAGGGGGCGGCTTCCCACCTTCTGTGCCCGGTGCGCGCGCTCGCACGATATGTGTCACACAATTCAGGGATTTGCCGCTCACAAAGCCTGTTTGTGCACTACAGAGACTCTTCCCTTGGACAAGCGCTGTCAACCCAGCATCTTTCACACTGGCTGTGTGACGCCATTTCACTCGCTTACACATCATCAGGGCGGGATCCTCCTGAGACACTCCGGGCTCACTCAGCCAGAGGGATTTCCTCTTCTATGGTGCTCCACAGTGGTGTGTCGATGGAAGACATTTTTCAGGCTGCTTCATGGGCTTCCCCATATCCCTTTACTCGTTATTCACGAGATGTGTCTTCAGGTTCCATCACTTGTTCAGTGCTTGGACCTCAGCAGGCTGAGTGAAAGCATTATGGCACCACATCAGCCCTACTTGAATGAAATTCATCCTCTTGTGGATGATCATTTTAGTGGGGGCCCCACTCTTCTCTCTGGCTGCCTCAGCCTTTTAAGCCCTGGGCTGAGGCTGAGCGGCCCTCGCTAAAAGGAGACATGTTGGGTGTGTCCATTTGGTTGACCAGTGTGGCGTAAACCCATCCAGCTGTGCATTATTCCAATAGCAGTTAGCTTAACCCTTTGATGCATGAATTATGAAATCTTCAACCATGATTTTTTTAACAATTTTTTTCATTCATCTTTAAGTGTGAATGAAACAAATTTCAACAAATATTTTTTGTAAAATTTTATAATTTACAAATAATTTATTACATGTCCACCTCAGTGGACAGCGTGCATTCTGAACATGAAATATGTTGGCTTGGCTTACTGAAGTCCAAATGGAGGGGCTCAAATGCAATAAAGTCTTCAACAGCTGTGCTTAATAGCAAAAACAAATAAATAACAATTTTGAGTACCTGTCTACTGTAGTGACCATTATGCATCAAAGGGTTAAGGGCTAAGACTAGACAAAATAGAACGTTGGTTACGTATTGTAACCCCAGATTCTATGAGTCTAGTCGCAGCCCTTAAGCCAATGGCCCCACTGGTTCTGTTAGGACCAAGAGCCATCGGAGGCGAACAGTGGAGTCGCTCCACTTATATACCCACAAGGGGTGCCCTCCATTGGTGGGCGTACATTTAAGCTCTTCATGATTGGCTGATTCTGAGATCATCCTTCCAATAGCAGCTAGCTTAAGGGTTGCGACTAGACTCATAGAATCTGGGGTTACAATACGTAACCAACGTT